CAGCTTTCCATGAAACACGGCCATTCCAGCAACACGCCCGATGAACTTGAAATAGGAGAGGTGATCCTCATTGCATAGGCCAGAGTTGGGATTAATTTGGAGAGTGTAGTTGTCCCTGGAAAGACATGAGCACAGATTTAAAAAAGTATTCGATTAGACAGTAATATCAATATCGTAAGATTAGACGTGTAAAAGCATACACAGCACAAAGTAAGTAATTTAGGTAAGCAATGAAAACAAAAAACAAAAAACACAAACAAATAGGAACAGTGGAGTGGAGACAGACATCTTTTAAGGCGATTTCTAAAAGTTTTATTAGCTTTTTATTGAACCACATCTATAGACTACTTTTTCCATTTAAAATTTTCAATTCTTTGCCCTTAAATGCCACCATTTATTTTCTTTGGGTACCTCATGTCAAAAATATGTGAGAACAAAGTCATTACATATTGATGACGGTACAACATAAGACACTTTGACCACCTTAATGCGTATTGTGTGTGGGAAACCCTTGTTCGACGTTGGCTTTTTGAATAAGAGGAAAAGCTAATCAAAGTAAAAGGAAACTTTCACAAGTCTCATGGGGATGACACGGCAGCCCTGCCCCTCAACAGCTAACGCAATAAATGAGTAGACATGGATGTTTTCATGGCTCAGAACAGAAAGAATGGTTCCTTTACGACTAGCTTTGTGTAACACTATGTCCTGAGTGGTGTGTGAGATCCTGTTGAATTCTCAAGGGTTCAACGCCTTTCTTCAGTCTCAAAAGCAGCTCTTAAAGGAGGCGCACACAAACGAGCAGACACTTACGTGGCAGAGTATTCGAAAAGGCCGTAATAAGGATTGAACATCTCCTTAGATAAGAGGAAAAACCACTCTCTGGCCACACCGCCGTAGTCTAATCCTTTCTCCGATTCAAACTCGATCCATAGACGTGCCTTCAAAACATCTGGCCTCTTTAGTGACATGATTCGACGGTAAGACTCTTCAAAGATGTTGTTCCTGTGTAGCTTCATCTCAAATCGATTAGGGATGTCAGCCTGAAATGGTTAAAAGTAAAAACTGTAACATGTGTTTTGTTGGAAATAATAATAATAATAGAAACAGCTAAAACAAGACAGTTTTTAGAAGAAAGTAATGTCAATGTGTCATTATGCAAGAGTAGCACAGACAGAAACTGGAGACACAGGATAGAAAGTCTTACCGGTTTCTTTAATTTCTTTCTGAAGTAGTCATATTTCTGCTTGAATTCTCTGGAGTAGGGAACCGCCTGCAAAGACAAACAAAACACAGAAGTCAAGAAACAGTCAAAAATTATCAGTCTCCTCGTTGGGTTTCCTGATATAAATGTGTAAACACAAGCGCAACATGGTGGCGACCTTCCAGTGAGAGTGAAGTCTGAAGTGGTACGCAGAAGGACACCAGGTTAGCATGTTAGAAATGCAACAACTAAGTGATTTATCTCCGCTGTGCACAGACGGGCCGGGGCTGATGAGAGTGCACGGCAGATAGAACTGCTATGTTAAGAGAAAAAGCTGTCATTTGTATGTAGCGACTCCCTAAACAAGTGGGGCAGTAAGAGGAAACAACTCACGGGTCCTGTGATGGCTGGACTCTGTAGACGCGGGTCCTCCCACTGCGTGTTCTTTGTATCTGGATAAAATGAACACAACAGAACATAATTTCACTTCATTTCATTTGTATCTTTAAGAAATTATGTTCAGGGACACTGGGACGAAACAGATGTTTGAAACCAGTTTGAGTAAATAGGAAACAAAAATAATGGCAGAAAAGCAATATAATGTGAAAAAGAAGGTTTTCATAGGACTCCATGCTATCCTGTAAAAAACTTAGTACACCCTTACTGCTGCCACAGGAACAAACAGGTCAAAAGCTGCTGAGAGGATGATGAGAATGAGGATGATGATGTAGCCAGAGTCTGCAGCAATGAGAAGGTTGTTTGTGATCTTGATGAGAGAAGTCTCTGTGCTGTAGTGCGTTCTGAAGCCAAAGTGAAAGGGTTCACCGAGTTCATGAATAGACGTGTTGCAGGGATAGACTATTCAAAGGATTTGATGATGATGTCAACAAAAGCTAAAGCCATGCCCTAACATATCTACTAGGTCTGATTTACTAACAGACTTGATGTGACTAGATGAAACTCAACAAAAGGATGGCATGGAGGTCAGAGTTGGTGAGGTGAAATACTTGACTGTCTTCAAGTCAGATCAGGTGAACACCAACAGCTAGTTTGGAACTTAGCCTTCATGAGAGAGCCAAATCGAGGGAAAAGTCTATTCCTGAGTAGTCTAAAACAGTTTGTGGGAAGTGATGTAAAGTATCCGGAGGAGTTAAACATCCCGGCATTAAAGAAGAGTGCAGTCTGACTGCTATCAGAGAGAACGTTATTAGTAAAAGTCCATTGTAACATAGCGATGATCATAAACTGGATCCAGCAAGAAAGTACAGTAGAAGGTAAGTACACAAAATGTAGTACAGCTGTTAAACTGTAACAGCACAAGGTAACCCAATGGGAAATACAGATTCCCAGAACTGCAGGTAGAGATATCAAAATGGAGATATTCTGCCATAATTCACAGGACCACATTTGCTAAAAATCAAACACACCATCTTAGCACAGCTTAAATTTACTTTGCAGTCATTCCTCAGCCATGAACTGTATTCTAGAGTCAAACATGAGGCCATCTGTCTGACAGCTAAGGCTTAGTCAGGACAATAATCCCAAGCACAGCAGCAAATCTTTATAAAAAGGGTGGACCAAAATTCCTCCAGAACAATCCGAGAGACTGATAAGGTCATCCAGAAAATAGCTACCTCGTGTTTCTTGCTGCTAAATGTGGCTTTATGAGCAACCGAATAACAGGGTGTTACTTGGTTTTTCACATGACTGCACACATAACCAAATGCAAGCATGGAAAAGGTATCTTACTGTGGTCGATGTAAAAGGTGCGTCCGTCTGTATGAACTCTTTCTTCCCATCCAGGCTGAAAAAGAAGAAGAAGAGAGGAAGAATAAGAATCTACTAGAAAGCAGCAATAAACAGGCCGTGCTCAAATAGCAATTTAAATCCATCCATTTATTTTTCCTTTTCTTCAAATTTATGTTTAATTGAACTTCAGTGACCATTAAATGGTCCAAACAATGACATCCCAGCACTGCAAGCAAGGTAAGCTCAATCAAACACCGACAAAGGAAATGAAAGGATTTTGTGCCTTATTTGAGTTCGGTCTGGCACATCAGCAAGGCAGGGATACGACCACAACATAAAGGTTAAATCACCACTATGAGTTCAAACCAGTGTATCACGACTGACACGGTGACCACTCAGTACAGTGTCACAGGCCACACACACTCGTACGGCACCAGCAATCAAGCAAATAAAAACATTACAGTAGACTGAGTGTAAAGGGGTGGGGAGAAAGGCACAGTTCAATCTGTTGAACAAAGTGTAGCTACAAGACGTACGGTATATGTGTAAGTATGCTGCTGCTGCATGAGTGGAGACCAGGCTGAAAAAACTGAGAATACATGCAGCATACAGCCAATTCCTTCCTCTGATATATATGTATTTATATATATATATATATATATAGCTCCTTGTGTTTCCTTTGAAACCTCCCTCCCTCATTGTTTTACTCCCATTATGTACTCTAGTCTCACTCCTTCAGTCAGTCCAACTCCAACAAATGCCTGGGAAATCTGTCTAGTGTTAACCGTTTCTCAGACATTGATACAGACTGAGAGATCCAAGGACAATGATGGGGAGCTCCAAATGTTAAACACTAACAGAAGGAGCGGCAGTGGTGCAAGGAGGCTGCACACAGAGAGAGGAAGTGGGGTACAATACTAAAAAGGAGGTAGAGCGACAATCCACCCATGCTGGTCATGAAAAAAGAAAAGATCGAAAGAAAGAAAGAGAGAAGAGGAGAAAAAAAGAAAACAGAAGGCTGTCTGCAGGCATTTGACCAGACTGGACTGGACCAGACAGGTAGGCAGGCAGAGGGAGGGAGGCACCAACCAACCTCCTCTGGTAGGTTCTGCCAAACAGACATGGCCAGGTGTAGAAGAAGCATACATTAGATCCATCAGAATGAAGAGAAAAGAGAAAGGGGGAGAGAGAGAACACATACACACATGCACACACACCACACAAGCCTGTGAGTTGTACAAACCCATAAAGCTTTTTTATTATTACTGTCATTAGTAATATTCTTATTATTAATACTACATCTAGCTACAGTAACATTTTGCCCACTTCCAGGGAAGGTTTCACCTCCTAATAAGGTTATTACAGTCCCCAGACCCTCTTGGCTAAGCTTCACACAAACAGCTTCTGTTCTTACAGGACTAAAAATGGAAATGTGTAATGGAGTCTGATCACATGAACACATGAAGTTTCATATTTTACTGTCAAAGTAATTTCTTTCATATTTTAATTTTAAACATAAACAGACCAATCACATGCCGATTACAACATGCACCATAACACAAAAAGCCAATTAATATGTTGGCTTGATTCTACTTTAGCTAAGACTACATGGTTGTACTGCTCCAAAAGAGCAGATTTGTTACACACATTAAAGACAGAGTACATATTGCTAATGATGAGTGCACAGTCTTTGTGATTCATGAGGTTGTTTTGCATCTCCATTGCAGGCCAAAGGTTAAATATCTACTTAGTCTTATAGTAATTGTACTTACAGGAAGAGGGCCAAGGTCACCAGGCTCCATTGAGTTCTTATTCCTCATATGGACCGGATATTTCAACCTGGGATCCTCCTGATTGTCAGCAGTGAAAGACAGGAAAGTAAACAATTATATTGGAAAAAGCACAACAAACTCTAAATGTGCACCTTGTTCTATATATTAAAGTTAAAAAAGCAGCTCTGTCTAAGTGTACATAAAATTGACCTTACCACCACCAGATGTCACTAAAAGACCAACACTAACTACTGCCCCACACTTTCTAATCACTAGATTAAAATCACAGAGCGTTTTTTCTTCATCCCTAAACAGCAATGTGCTAGCTCACCCAGGTGGTGGTCCTGCTGTTGTGGTCGATGAAGAAAGGCCGTCCGTTTGGAGCTATTCTCATCTCCCATCCTGGGGGCAGGAAGCTCTGTTGGGTCTTGTGTTGCGACTTTGGGGAGCTGTAAGGGGACGGCTGGGGAGACTGAGGGTTAGAAAGTGTGTCTTTCACAGCCCTCCGTACCTGAATGTTGTTGGCTCCCTGGGGGGGGAAAAAAGTGATATGAAATAAATAAATAAATAAATAAATAAAGGTCATGTAATGTTATCTCCCATTTCATGATAAAATAAGGATACATATCGAAACTTAAACGGACACTCCAAAAGTTGATTATGTTCAGATTCTGTTCATCTGGACGTAGCGTTTTGTGGGAGACTGAAGAAGTCGCTTGGATGAGTGACGAAACGTTTCTCCCACAAAACGCTACGTCCAGATGAACAGAATCTGAACAGAATCAACTTTTGGAGATTTACTTTCCTGGATGATTGAGAATGCATCAAGACGTTAAACGGACACTGACTGACAGCGAGACACAAAATTAGTGATCATTAACAAAGACAGAAACACATCTTCCAACAAATCGCTTTTTCTTTGTCTGCTCATAAAAAAAAGAGAGAAAAAGATTAGAATTCTTAGCACCATGAGATTTCCATCTAAAACTTGCAACATTTGAACGTATCATCACCACTTTTATCTTTAAACTATTATATCACTTAACACCAGGCTCATTTCTGATTTCCATGTTCCATGCTGTTTACTCCATCAACCTGTAAATGAAAATGTCACACACATCTGATTTATCACCCTTCCCAGATAATGCGTAAGACTTCTCTTGCTCCCTCTTGGTTACCTAGATACTGAAGAAGTACAAGAACAACTAACAAATGTTTACTTTAAATCCAGCAGAACTCATTAATCTAAATCTGGTAACAGAGCTTTCTGTCAAGGCTAAAAGGAAACCTAATTACAACATAATACCTGAAACTATTTATATACAGGAAAGTGAACATCTCTGGTAAAAGCTCCTTATGTCGTCCAGACTAAAAAGTGTCCCTGCATCAGATAAATTTTTTTTTTTTTTTAATAGCAGTAATCATCACTGATTGACCTTTTTTCTTCTTCTTTCAAACAAGAGAGAAGAGTGCATTAATTAACCACATCCCCTGCAAGTTGTAATTACAACAATCTGCTGCGACTATTTCGCTTCCTTTTACTTCCACAATACTCGCACACACTTTAATTAAACCTTGTTCAGGTCTGTTCCCTAGGTAGCATCTTCGCCACCGAACGAAGCCATTAAAAGGCTGCAGAAGCACTAGATGAGATCATGCATTTCCACAAACGTGTTGATCAGACTTACATTTGCATTCGTAGTGCATAATTTAGGTTGAGGAAAAAATGTACGTGCAAATTAATGCGATGCAATTAAATTGACAACCTCAAAGGTTATCTGCATGATGTAGCCTGCAGCTTAAAAAAAAAAAAAAAAACACATTAAAATGTGAAGTAGAAATTTCAATATTTTACCAAGGTGTTATACGGCTAACGCATTAACCACTTATGCTGTGTGAATATTAACACCCTCTGACCAATGAGTGAGAGAAAGCAGTCATGTAAAGCATAATGTTGGGAACAACGTAACATGGAGGCGGCAGGATGACTCTATGAATTGCTATTGGTCGTTAACATTCAGGTTATTAAAAAGCAGTAATGAAAAAAGCTAATATTTAATCTGTCCACTAGATGAGTCAAACACCAGGAATGTACACGGATTGGCTACATAAAATCTCCTTGGCAGAAAGACAGATGTCTATTAAGCTTTCTGTGTGCTTTGTTACTTTAGTTAGACCTTTGATGTTTTGTTAGCATAGAGTAGCATCGGAGAATGAATTAGCCTTGAATGCGGTCTTATTTGATTATAAAAACTAGTGCAAACACACAGTAATATTGACACAGCCTTCCTTAAGTTCCTTATTTACAATTTGTCACGCCTTCCCAAATAAAACCGATTGGCCATTGCGTTACCAAAACAGTCTTTATTTAATAGTTTTTCCACTCCTTCACTTGTATGTCCCTAGTTTTATTTTAACAAATGACATCATTAGGGGCCCATTATCAATTTAAGTAATTTAGCCATCTTAGATTTACCACACCAGGTTCATGCTATTATTCTTTTAAACCATAGCGTGAATCAAGGTGCTTAAGGAAAGCTCGGATCATATTATTCATCTAATCAGTGTTTAGCTGCAAGGTCCTTTAGTACACAGTCATGAGCTCAACTTTCATTAATGAGGAGAAAGTAAGAGCAATATGAAAAAAGAAAACTGTCATTAATGGAGAGATCCCAACAACACTTGAGAAGATTTCATTAAGTTTGGCAATGAGGAGAAGACAAAAGCAGCAACCTGAAAAGAGGACAGCTAACAGGTGGAAATGTTAATCTTTAGAAGGAACAGGCAGAAGTGTGAGAAAGTGAAGATCACGATTTAGTCATTTGGAGCACATGGCAAGAAAGGACAGGAGGATAAAGATTCAGGAAGGTAGGACAGAAATAGGTGGTCCTCAAGCATGTAGAGGAAAATGAGATGGGAATGATGGTGGAGAGGGACAGTACAGGTGGCTAATTCTCACCTCCAAAGGGGTGGAAAGGGTGACAGTAGGGGAGCTGAGGCTACGAGGTCGTCGGACTTGGGGCTCATGGAGGTGGTTGTTGGAGGCATTGGAAGAGGAGGAAGGGGTGGATGCGGGTGCCAGGGCTGAGGCTCCTCCTGATGCTGCTGCTGCTGAGGTGCTGGCGCCGTCTTCAGTCAGCTGTCAGTGAGAACAGCACTTTTGAGGTTAGGTTGGGAAGAAATCAAGCATGCCATGCCGTTATCCAAAAGTAAAAAAATAAAAAGAAAGTCTCTTTGAGAAGCATGCTTTTCTGCACTGGAAAGGTCTGGATGCAGGCTTTGTTTTCCTTGGGAAATAAGCCACTAAAATCTCAAAGGCAGGGGTCATTTCAGGGCCACAAACAAAACAACAATAGGATTTTATGTCCAACTAGAAAACAATGACAAAGGTTTGAAATAGTGAGATTACCACATAACTTTCACCCCTAGATGAGGTGGGAGGTACAGCCCACATTTACAGCGGGGTATAACTTCAGAGCAAACACAGAGAAATTATTTGATAGATTTGCCTCTCCTTCCGAGTACTTAAGAAAACAGATGAGGATCAGAGAATGAGGAGACTATGACATTTATAATACAGTCACAGAGTTACAGAGTTGACCATAAAAAGGCACAAATGCAAGGGTGGATTTCAAAGGAGAGCATTAAACATACACCCAGTCCCCTCTGTCTCTCTGTGAGCACTGCTTACGTGGGGCTGCCTCGCTTGCAGACAGAAAGGCAGGGTGGAAAAATGGAGTGGAAATGGGAGGAGGGAGGGAAGAGTAGTGGTTGCGGTCCCATGCCAGGGTTTAGAAACACGTGACCAATACACAGTTGAACTTCATCCTTGTGTTACACAAAATGCTAGACAAGAGAAGGAAGACGCACAGTAAAAGTTGGACAAAGTAGGAAACAAAACAACGCAGAACTTTGACATTTAAAAGCTCTCTCTCTTTTTCTTTCACTCTTGTACACAGAGAAAAGGAGAAACACAGGAGGGGGAATAGAGTGGGAAGAGATCCAACACACAGGTGAAGAATCATGGGGCCGGGTTACGGTCCAGCCAGCCCGACAGCTACACTTCAGACCTGCTGTACCTGCACAACTGGCCTAGTCCATGTAGTGGTGCGGTTGTTATGGTTGACGTAATAAGTTCTTCCCTTGGCGTCCTTCCTCTCCTCCCATCCAGGGGGCAGGCCAGGGGTGGTCAAGGTGTAAGCAGTCGACGAGGGAGACTGGCCAAGTGCAGAGAGAGAGCAAAGCAAATATGGCTAATCAGTACAGACTAGTACATTTAGACAAGTGGAGGGGCTCTAATATTTTATATTGAGGTTGCAGGGAATAGATTATTACAATCCAACTAAGTGAACTATTAACCATTTCCAGCATAAACATTACAGAGTGTCAACCAAATAATCACAGCATAATCTGGTGATGTATTACACAGACAGCATGGCTGAACACTGGCAACATTTTACGATGCAGCGTCATGGCTCCTTATCAATGACTGATCAGTGACATTCGTTATTTACAGCTAGGCTGTCAGTTCTTGGTCAAAACACAACAAACACAGAAACACACACATATAACAGACAACTTCTGATCTAACGCTGCAGATCACAATAAGAGAATAAAGAAAAGACAGGTTTTTAAGCTATGTGCTAATCATGATGATTTAGGTTTCTAATGTGTTCAAAAGTAATTGCTTTATTAAGCTGTTTGCGTCCATTATGAAGTATGTGTAGTGTGAAAGGGGCAATCTGTTTTTTGATGATTTTATAAAGTACAGATCATCATTTGGCATATGATCTGATTTTTAGGGGAATCAGAAATAATGTTCCTGTCAATAAATTAATAAGTAACAGTGCTGTTTAGGCTTTCCTGGTCCACAGGAACTGAAAAAAAGCTGTATTATTTTCTACACTGCAAAAATAATTTAAAATGCACGCAAGCATTTCTTGTAAGTTTGTACTTCGCTGAATTTGCAAAGTGATTTCACGCTGTGAAAAATGGGATTTAAATGAATATTACTCCCTTGCAAAGCTGCCAAGAAACAGCTACATGGCTTTAGTCTTGACCTAAAATGTGACTCTATTGTGATATCATTTTCTTGATCACACTGCCCTGCTCAGCATATGCTCGTACAGGACTTTACTAGAAAGCAACACTGGTGTAACAATGAGGAAATCTTCCTAATGAGTAAGCTCTAACTGAGTGCAGGATTAGAAGTCATTCACAAAACTAGTCGGGTGACAGTCCCATCCTACATAGTGCTGTGCATAAACTGAGATATTACCATAGGCTCCTCACCACCTGAGACTGTTTGAGCTCTCGTTCTTCTGGACTGGGAACTCTGCTGGTGGTAGACAACATGGAAGAGGGTCTTTAGTTCACAATAGGTTATGTTTTAAGGGTGTAAGTTAAGAGCCAAGTGTGGGCACAAGCGAAGGCTGAAAGAGGAAAACTGAGTGGACAAAAGGGGGGAAAATTCATTCTCAGAGGAGGTGAGGAGTGGCAGAAAGATGAGAGAATCTTTTGGTTATGGGCCTAAGAGCGCAGTGACTGAACAGCAAGGACACAGGACACAGAGTGAAGCAAACGGCTGCTGTGATTGGCAAGAGGGGGACAAAGAGAAGTATCATCCCTGTGCAATCAATAACCTTTGGAAAACAGATTTCCCCCCTCCATTCAATGTGCAGCATCTTTAATTTCAACCAGAAACAGGTGCGTCCCGAAAATGTGCAAGCAGGTAAGTGATTTACAGTGCTGAAGGTGGAAAAAGGAACCAGCCTTAACAAAACAATCAAATTTTGAAGGAAAAAAATGAAAGAAAATGTATTTTCTTTCATGTACACGTTTTGTTTCTCCGTTTTAAACGCAGATATGCAACTAGGTGTTGTTCTGCTTACACAGAAGTACATAAACAATATCAGTCCTCCAACAGCAGCCTTTTATAAACCAATTTAATAGCTACTACTGCCAAAACAAATAGAAAACTAAAATATGGGAACAATTTTAAATCTGCACCGTCAAATTAAAGCTACCTCATATCCTCCTATTAAGTTAATGACATATTTTAAAGTATATTACAGTCAAATTGACAAAAGAAAAAGATAATGAAATAGAGGGGGGGG